TTTTCTGAAATTCGTTTTTCACTTTCTGAAATTCGTTTTTTTCACTTCCGAAATTATTTCTGAAATTCGTTTTTCACTTTCTGAAATTCGAAATTATTTCTGAAATTCGTTTCTGAAATTCGTTTTTCAATTTCGAAAATTTTCTGAAAATTCGTTTCTCAATTTGGAAATTCCGACATTTTTTTCTGAAATTCGTTTTTATTTTCGGGAACTCCTCTTGCAAGCGTTCGTTTTCAAACGGCGCATACCTACGATATTCCGAATTTTTTTTCTTCTGTTCTCGGAATTTTCTGGATTTGCGGGCACCGATATTTTTTTCTCCGTCTTCACAGTCCTGTATCTCCATTTGACATTTTGATGCATTCGGCAGTCTGAAATTCGAAATTTGTGGCTCTAACTGCCGAGGGGATATCTGGGGGGCCTACCGAACTTGCAAATTCGATATTTTTTCTCTCGAAATTGTTGCAAGTTCCCAAAAAAAAATATTTTGATTAGTGGCTCCATATCTGGGCAACCATCCGATTGCCCACTCCCCTTCTCTCCACCCCACCCCTTCATCCCTTCTCCGTCCTTCTTTACTGCCCATTCCCTGTCAGTTGCAGACCAGGTAAGTCCTCGCTTCAGCAGGCCACGTCAGGGACCCCCAGCGCATGACCATACTTACTCCCTCGCAGACAGCAGCGATGGATCAGAAGACAGGCGAGACTGACGAGGCCTACGAGGCACGGCTGGCGGCCATCATGGCCGAAACCAAGCAGCGAGCAGACGCAGCAGCAGCAGCACGGAAGAAGAAAGAAGCAGAGGCAGAGAGACTACGTCTTCTGGCTGAAGAACAGCGGCAGAAGCACGCGGCAGCAGCAGCCAAGGCCGCTGATGAAGAACGCATACGACGACGCAAGATTATATTCAAGGAGGAAAATGCATTACACGCACAGGCCAAGGATTGGCAGAGGGAGGCCGAGAACGCCGATCCCGTTGACGTCGGGAGCAGAGTATCTCAGCTGCTCAACCGTGTCACGGACCTCCTTGCGACTTGCATCGCGCAGCAGGAGGACATCTACTCCCTCGACCACGCTAACAAGGCGCTGCAACAGTCGTCGGACCAGATGCTCAAGCGCATTCAGCAGCTGGAGCAGCAGGTCGCTAACGCCAATGCCAGTGCCGGCCCCTCCGACCTCGCCGACCGCGTCAACGTCCTGGAGATAGAGGTGGGGACACTCAAGGCCGGGGCGCAACAGCACGTCTGCGCCGCAGCCAGCTCCAGCACGACGCCACGCGAGACCATTGTCAAGTTTGACGGGCTACCGATCTTCTGTGACGCATCGAAGACGGAACCCATACAATGGTGGCGCCACTTCGACCTCAAGCTGGACCTCCACCACGTCGCCAACGAGAACCGGCACGCCTATCTGTACTCTCGCTCGGGAGGCGCGTGTCAATCATCGTTGGACAATATGTTGTCCGCACACTGATGTACAGCCACAGAATTACGTAAGTTCATCACCTGGGCGGATCTCACGGCGGCATGGAAGAAGCGTTTCCAAGTGGAACCGCCAGAACACCAGGCGATGGACAAGTTGTTGACGTTCACGCAACACAACATGCCAAGCGTTCCAACGCCTGGCAAGCACGCCCAAGCTGCCGCTGAATTTCGACGGCATCAAGCTCTATTTCATCAAGAGGTCGTGCCCGGCGTTGCAGAATGCGTTGACTCATGCCGCTGACACCATCACTACAAGCGAGGAGCTTTTCAACAAGGCCGCGCAAATCATTGTAACGAACTTGGCAGCCCGGAATACGGGCCATTCGTCAAATGCCGGCCAGGGCGCGCATCAGCATCGGCCGAAAGTGGCCATGATCGCAGCGACAACGACTAGCGACCCTTCTACTTCAAACGAGGCTGCTTCGTCTGACGAGGGAGACAGACTCGCAGCTGCCCAGAATGGTGGTCGCCCCGCCAAAGGACGAGGCCGTGGCAAGCCGAAGACCAACACCATTAGCAGCTCCAGCTCCAGGACCTTGGACAGCGTACGGTCTGACGGAGCGCGGGTTTCGCGTTCGCACCAAGTACCGTTATTGTTTGTGGTGCAATTGCGCGGCCCATGAGACCGTGAACTGCCCCACGAAAGCCAAGGGGCCCGCTCAGTCGGGAAAGTGAGCTCCGCCGAGAGTGTTGCGACAACACTCTCGACGCCTACGGAACCGGTTGCCGTTCGGGTAACCTCCCTCGGTTCCGGGGCACATGCGGACGTCGTAAGTCCTCCAATTCTTCATTCTTTCGAGAACTATGCTGCCCGGCTCGTACCTTCGCTAGATTCACGAGCCCAAGGACAGGATGTATGTGCGGTCTCTTCTCCGATCGGAAGCAGCAGCATTGATTCGTCTTCAAGTGGACCTTCACAAGATTCGGCGCGCACGTTCAACATCGAGGACTTGGACCCGTTGACGCCCGAGGATTTTGCATGGCTTCCTCTCCCTTCCACCGGCTGCTTACCGGAGCCGCAGTGCGCAGCTCTTCGCGCTCATTTACATACATACCTACCCTTCTATGCACCACCAACTTCGCCTACGGAGGACGAGGTCGCGGTGGGGGACATTCTTGCGTATGTGAGCAAGGTGGCCCACGAGTTTCGCACGCAGCGGTACGACGACAACAACGCACCGCTCCTTTATGTCCGCATCCAAATCGGGCAAGCGTCCTGCAGCGCTTTGCTGGATAGCGGCACGACTCGCAACTTTATTAGCCAGTCCATGCAAAGGGACGGCCTTGGACCACAAGTTCGAAGGAAGGCACACCCTACGACGATCAAGTTCGCGGACGGTCGAACGCAACAACTCCTTGATCGCTACATCGAAGCCGTCCCGGTTTATTTCGCACCTCATGCATGCGAACCGGTGACGTTCGACGTCTTGGACACGGACTTCGACATCATTTTGGGCATGCCTTGGCTTGCAAGTGCGGATCACACGGTCAACTTCCATCGGCAGACACTTACGGTTCGCGACGCATTCAGCGCCGTAAGTACCATGTAAAATTCCTCCCCCACACCCTTCGATCCGGTGCCAAGTTGTAACCGCCAAGTCTTTTCGGGCCACTTGTGCTTACGAGCGGACTGAAGAGATCGGCTTATGTTTTCTTTGAACCGTCGCGATAGCCGACTCTCCACCTATGGACTTGTCTTCAGACCCCGGGGTGGTGCGGTTGCTCGACGAATTCGCCGACGTCTTCGAGTCACCTACCGGCGTGGTGCCGGATCGGCCAATCTCTCACGAGATCATTCTCGAGGACGGTGTCGTGCCGCCAAAAGGTTGCATTTACCGCATGAGCGAGGAGGAACTTACAGTACTCCGCGCGCAGCTCGACGACTTGTTGGACAAAGGTTGGATCCAGCCTAGCAGATCACCCTATGGTGCGCCGGTTCTCTTCGTTCGAAAGAAGAACAAGGCCCTTCGCCTATGCATCGATTACCGCAAGCTCAATGCGCAAACCGTCAAGAACGCAGGACCTCTTTCTCGTATCGACGACCTTCTGGAGCGCTTGGGCCGCGCGAAATTCTTTTCTAAGCTGGATTTGAAGTCACGATATCATCAGATCTCGGTTCGGCCACAAGATCGCTACAAGACCGCGTTCAAGACACGGTACGACCACTTCGAGTGGGTTGTTATGCCTTTTGGACTCACCAACGCCCCGGCGACTTTTCAAGCGGCGATGACCAACGAGTTTCGAGCAATGTTGGACCGGTTCGTGCTGGTCTATAGCCTATAGCCAGACCTTGGAGGAACATCTTGACCATCTTCGATGAGTGTTGGAGACACTCCGGCGCGCCAAGTTCAAAGCCAACCGCGACAAGTGCGAGTTCGTGCGTCAAGAGTTGGAATACTTGGGGCCCCTTCGTCACTCCACAAGGCATCAGTCCGTTGTCGGACAAGATTCAAGTCGTCCAAGACTGGCCGGAGCCACGGAACGTCACGGATGTCCGATCATTCCTTGGCCTCACCGGCTACTACCAACGTTTCATCAAAGGCTACTCGAAGATCGCGGCTCACTTAACCAAGCTTCAATGCGAGGACCGGCCATTTGACTTCGGGACGGACGCGCGGGAATCATTCTTGGCCCTCAAGGCCGCATTACTGTCCGCGGAGGTATTGCGGATATACGACCCGCTATTGCCAACGCGCGTCACCACGGATGCGTCCGGCTATGGCATTGGTGTCGTCCTCGAGCAACATGACAGCGTGGACTGGCCCCCGGTCGAATACTTCAGTAAGAAAGTGTCGGTCGTGCACTCCATCGACAATGCAGGCAAGAAGGAACTTCTGGCCTTCGTCCACGCACTCAAGCGGTGGCGGCACTTCCTCCTCGGTCGACGCCAGTTCCGATGGGTAACGGAAAACAATCCCTTGGTCTTTTACAAGTCTCAAGACACCGTCAACAGCACCATCGCTCGTTGGATGGCCTTCATCGACCAATTCGACTTCTTTCCCGATCACATTATGGGCAAGTCGAACCGTTTTGCGGATGCCCTTTCACGGCGTCCGGACCACAGCACCGAGGTCTACTCAACCTTCGAAATCGAGGACGACTTGCGGGACAGCTTCATCCGCGGCTATCGAGCCGACCCCAAGTTTCGCGACAAGTACGAGAATTGTTCCTCTCCCAATCCGGCGCCTTCGCACTATCGGATCCAAGAGGGATACTTGCTCCTTCACTCACGGGGGAAGGATCTTCTTTGTGTGCCGCAAGATTCATATTTGTGCACCCGGCTTCTTGGCGAGTTTCACGACGCCCCCGCCACCGGACACTTTGGAGTCAATCGCACGATTGGCCGACTACGCGAGCGCTTTTGGTGGCCCGGTCTCCTCGACGATGTCACGCGCTATTGCGAGTCATGCGAAGTTTGCCGACGTTGCAAACCTCGCAATCATCGTCTGTATGGCGAACTGCGACCATAACCGGTCCCCTTGCGCCGAAGGGAAGCGATTGCCATGGATATCACCGGGCCGTTACCCAAGCACAAGACGGGCGTCGATGGGATTCTCACGGTGGTTGACCGCCTCACCAAGTTTGCCATGTTCTTGCACTATCACGCCAAGGCACCGGAGTTGGCCGAGGTTCTCTACGTCGGTTGGATTCGAACCAAGGGTTACCCCAAGGAAATCGTCTGCGACCGCGACACTCGGTTCATGTCCGATTTTTGGTTGGCGCTCATCAAGCGATGGGGCTCATCCCTCGAGCCAAGTTCAGCTCGCCACCGCCAAACCGATGGCCAAACAGAGAGGGCACATCAGACCGCACAGGTCCTACTTTGAACTCTCATCCGTCCCGACCAAAAGGATTGAGTCGATCGGCTGCCGGATGTCGAGTTGGCATACAACTCATCCATCCATCCGGCTATCGGGATGTCGCCTTTCGAATTCGAGCATGGCTCGCCGGTCAACTCTCCGTTGGACACGATCATTCCACGGACGACCGAGAGCGACGACCACCTTCTTTTCATTCGTCGGATGCAAGAGCTTCTTGTCAAGGCACGTGACCAGATGTCGAAGATGCAGCAACGTATGCGCCAACAGGCCAACAGCTGCGGAATTCAGCCTCGAACAAGATCTCTCTCGCAAGCTCCTTCCGAAATGGATGGGGCCCTGGCCGATCGTGGCACCCACAGGAGACGCACCCGAAGGCCCATCATTCATCATTCAGGTGCCCGGCCACTTGCCCGTCAACCCGGTTTTTCACTGTTCCAAGATGGCTCTCTACACGCCAGCGGAACTTGACGACTTTCCCAGGCGACGATCGCAAGACCCACCCTCGATGGACAGTTTCCAAGAGGTTGGCGACATCATATCCCAGCGACATTACGGCAACAGGCCGACAGAATTTTTGGTCCACTTCCCATATTGCACCCATAGAGCTGACCGATGGCTGACTCGTGTGGAACTTCAGGCCACAGCGCCCGATGCTCTCGCACGCTATGAACAGAAGTTGAAAGGCAAGCCAGCATCTTCGGCCCCACAACGCACACGCGTCCAAGTACCGCCTTCAGATCGTCAGCTTCGCCCCCGACCGGCTTGACTTCATAAGGAGGGGGGGGTGTTGCATGCTGCGCCTGCACACGGGCCCCATTTGAGGGGCCCGGCGGTTGCTGAGGGGCCCCCAGGCCGCGTACCATCCAGCACACGCCCTGGAGGCCCACTGCGGCCCTCCAGGCCCTAGGCAGCACACTAGGTAGATAGGCTGTAGTTTTACTTACCGTTTTTGTGGGGGTGTGTGTGCTGTCTTATTTTTGTCTGTTCAGTTGCCGTTTCGGACTTCCAGCCCCAAGGCCGGACCTTGGGAAGGGGTACACCGGAGGCAGGCCCGAAACGAGGCCAGGCACATTTTGGCGCCAAGCCAACAGGTACCAGCGTCATTTCGGTCCTGCAGGACCCAAGACAGCACCTTGGGCCAGGTGCACCGGTAGAAGGCCGTTTTTAGGCCAGGCGCATTTCTGCGCCATGCTGCAGCAGCAGCAAGGTCTGGACGTCCGGTAGGGACCCAGACCACCTGGGCCGTTTTAGGCCACACAGCACCAGGTAGGCCCAGCCACCCAGCGCTACAAATAGCTGGGCAGCGGCTGGGCCAGGGACAGTTCGTGCCGCTCGCTCCTGAGCGACATGCTGCGCTATGCTGCGCTGAGTAGCGGAGTAGGGAGTAGAGGTTAGAAGAGATAGGGAGTGGTGGAGGCCATACCTGCAGTCGGCGAGCTTACCTGGCGCCATAGCTGGGCTCCACGCGGTACCTGCACACGGCGACAGACACAGTCAGTACGGTGGCAGCGACCTGCAGGTGAGATAGCGAGGAGGACTTCTTCTCTCCCTCCTC